CCCCCACCCACCGCTCAGGGGTGGGGGCCAGGGGGGAGGACAGTAGGTCCCCCCTCTTATTGTTTTATTAGGGCCCCCACCCACCGCTCAGGGGTGGGGGCCAGGGGGGGAGGACAGTAGGTCCCCCCCCTTATTATTTTATTAGGGCCCCCACCCACCGTGCAGGGGTGGGGGCCAGGGGGGAGGACAGTTGGTCCCCCCCCTTATTGTTTTATTAGGGCCCCCACCCACCGCGCAGGGGTGGGGGCCGGGGGGAGGACAGTAGGTCCCCCCCCTTATTGTTTTATTAGGGCCCCCACCCACCGCGCAGGGGTGGGGCGAGGAAGGCAGTAGGTTCCCCCTTATTGTTTTATAAGGGCCCCCACCCACCGTGCAGGAGTGGGGACCAGGGAGGGAGGACAGTAGGTCCCCCCCTTATTGTTTTATTAGGGCCCCCACCCACCGCGCAGGGGTGGGGGCCAGGGGGGGGATAGAAGTTCCCCCCCCCCATATCTTTATTTAGGGCCCCCACCGCTCAGGGGTGGGGGCCAGTAGGTCCCCCCCCTGCTTACCTTTGCTGTGCAGTTCATGCGTCTCCTGAATACCTGCATTTCCGGTTATGGCCGGCGTTCGAATCTCCCGCCAAATGCAGCTCCTTCAGGTCTCCTTGCAGTCCCGTTCGTAGGGGGTTTTGCCACGAAAACCACCAAACAGAGAAAAATCTCACTAACACTTTCCGGTAACGGGCGGGAATAGTCACGTTCTTGTTATTCCCGCCGTTCAGGCCTTTTCACAGGGGTAGACTCCCTGTAATTGTGCGTATGTTCTGTTCTAATACATTAAACATTTTGTTTAAATTCGTGCATAAAACCTTTTGTGTAGGGGGGCGGAGCCGACTGAGCAACTGAGAGGACGCATTTCTCGGAGCTCCGTCTCTGACCTGTATAAAATCGGAGATATATGGTGGAAAACGGGCCCATAACCTCCTCACAAACCAACCAAGCACGGGCTAAAAGACCATGGGCAGGAAATCTAAGAAGGCAAAAGCCGAAAAAAGCCCCCACGGGAGGGACATAGGCGAGATGCTTCGGCTCTCGCAACAGGCCACATGGCCCAAAATGGCGCAGCAGGATGACCTTTCCTCCTACTCGGAGGATTTCGCCAACGACATCCTGGAAGGTGCATCCTACAGGCAACCACCAGATAGCGGACAGGTACCCCCAAAATCTGGGGACCCGGTCACAGCCTACCAACTCAAGAAAATGCTGGCGGAACTCCGCAAAGATTTGGCGGCAGACATGGCCCACTATAGGAAGGCCATCGAAGGCACCACGACAAAAATCGCACAGTTAGAGGCCAGCTCAAGCACCCATGACACAAGGCTTCATGCAATCGAACAGAAAGTCACAGACCTGGTCAAATGGCAAACCGCCACCAATGACAGCCTTGATACCAAAGAGGACTAAAGAAGACGCTACAACTTAAAGCTGAGGGGGATACCAGAGTCAGTAGGCTTGGATGACTTACCCCATTACATCAGGCGCCTCCTCGAAGTCCTACTCCCGCCGAAGCGTGCAAAAACCATGAAAATGGACGGCATGTTCAGGTTGCCGAAATCACCCCGAGCACCGACAGCGGCAACGGCAGACCTCATACTGAGGTTCCAAACGCAAGCTGACAAGAACTCGCTCGTGACTGCACTGCGGGGAAAAAAAACCCTACTGTTTGAAGGGGCATCACTGACAGCATTCCCAGATCTGACCAGGAACACAATAGCCTGGCGAAAAGCCCTACAACCCCTCCTGCACCATCTTCGGGCCAGAGAAATCCCATACAGATGGGGCACCCCTCGTGCCATATCATTCACTCTCAACGGGACTACATATAAGGCGCAAGACAAACAAGAGCTGGAAACTCACCTGCAAGCAACAGGTATCCTTCAAGCGGCACCGGCGTCCAGACGGAGCATAGCCCAACTGAACCCAGATAACATACGGGACTTTACCCCATGGAACTCCTCCAGAACCTCCCCAGGAGGATCGCCCACTTGAGGAACCACCGACAAGCCAACGTATAGTGACTCTCCCTTACTTTAAATTCCACCATCCACGCAGACGGAACGTCTCATACAGTCAGAGACTCAATCCCAGCAGAACCACCAACACCTTTTTTTTATATTCTTTATTTTTGTGGTGCAAATAATGAACAAACGCTCTTGTCATGCCACAACAGCGGTAGCAAGAGTTGTAATTCATACAGTATAACTGGTACATGGCATATACGATTACTGCACATATTTGTAATTAAAGTTGTAAGATAACAGGCTGGTCAATCAGGTCTGGAGTCCAGGGAAAAGCCTCAGAGATCAACGTCTATCTTTACATGGTGAACATTATAGAGGAATAAATGGCATTTCAAGCTTATCAAGCAGGAGTATGAGGAGTAGTTTAGTAGAGAGCTAGCTAAACTTATGTCTATGTAGGCAGTGAGACTTGGTGATTAGGTCAACGGACCGACCACTGTATGTAACATACATGCTTTGTAAGGGCAGGTTAGATTGGGTTAATGCTCTATAGTGTACTGAGGCTAGGCACCTTTATCAAAGGCATGTGCGGCTAAGTGCTATCAGTGAGCTTAATAGTCTAAAGCTGTGCTAGCCTTTTGCTCATATACATATACATCTGGGTTGAGGGGAACAATAAAATAACATGGGGTATAAAGACAAGTCTGGCTAAAGCATAGAAAACAATTGAACTGCTGGGTATCAGGTACTAGTAGGGTGACTATACATACAGTTGTGCTCTGCTAACCATAGTGGCAGCAGGGAGAGAGGCTACTGCAAGCCTTCACCCGGTGCCACTAGTGCGCTGGAGCAGGTAGTTAAATCTTCAACCCATCGGTCGGTCTCGCAAAAAAAAAAAGAAAAGAAAAATGTGTTCCATAGTTAGTATGCTCAGCCTCTGGTGCCTCTATTTTGGGAGATTTCACCCGACTCCGGTTTGCGGCAGGAACCCTTTGTGGTTGTGGGGTGTAGCGGTGTCCCCTTGCACCTTCTTGTTGGTCCGTGGCAGCTGCTGGACTGTGTGCTTACAGGCATGTTTCAGCTGTGGTGTCTCCAGTCCGGGCTGTAGTGATACTCTGCTGTTGGCTGGGTGTCTGAAGAGTAGTTGTATGCTTCTGCCCCTCGTGTCCGATACGTCCGAGCTAGTGGTGCAGTAGTGGAGTAATGGCTGCAGGCCCTTAGGTCGTTGCTGGTGGCGTGCTCGTTTTAGACCTTGGTAACACTTTTGGGTCGAGATGGGTCTGTGTGAGCCTCTCGTAGGTGGCGGTGCCGCCGTTGCTTGGACTCTGCTCGTCCGCTTTGGGCGGTTGTTGCCCCTTTGTCGCACCTTCCGCGTGGTGCAGGCTGGTCGTTCCTGCGGTATTGTTGTTGGGTTCCCGTGCCTCGGCCGCATGTGAGGGGTCATTGGTTGCCGCTCTGCTTTTGCAGCTAGTTTCAGTGCTGGAGGTAAGTTCCTCCTCTCCAGTCGCTCCCAGAATTTTCGGCATACGGCTTCGAACTTAGCTTGGAAGGCCGCTGCCCATTCCTCTGCTGACTGTTGCGGCGGGTTCACGGCCCTGCTGTTGGCCATCTTAACTTGGCCTCTTGGGGCCGTTTGGTCGGAGGTGCTGTGACGAGTGTCCCAGAGGTGGGTGTTGCTTGTTAACTGGCGGACCGGGATAACCCCTGCCGGTCCAGAGGGGGGGGAACGCGGGCCCTTTTGCATAGTAGCATCTAGTTGTGGCGGGCGGAGAGCGGCCGTCTCTCCCCCGTCTGCCTGTCGAGTAGGCCTCAGATGCTTGTCCGAGCGGTGCCGGTCGTTTAGTCGCTGAAGGGGTACCATAATGCTCCTCTCAGTGTCCCCTTTCCTTTCCTGGCCTTTGTGGCCCGATTGGTCGCCGTTTGGTTCGTGAAAAGTGGTGTTTTATTTGTTTCGTTGCAGGAACTCTTGAGCTAGTCAACCACTTGGCTCTGCGGTCAGGCCCCGCCCCCCCCACCAACACCTTTTTAATGTTTTCTTTAATATTCTCTTTAACATTTTCTTTTGTGTCTTCTAATATGTTCACACATAGTGAAACCAACACTGCCACCACCATATAACCCGCAACACCTAGGGACTGACTCAACTAGACTGCGCAAACCGCCACAACATACCACAAGTGACCACACAGGACGGAAGATGCTTACCAAGCAACGCTGAGTATTTTCCTCCATTGGGAGTCTGTTAGTTTGTACGTGAGTTCCTTTTCCCATGCGGTCTTGAATGGAAGAGATTCAATGTTGTGTGTGGTGTGTTCGGAGGTGTAAATTATGGAAATAAGTTTGGTGATCTGAGCTGCATGGTATTGAGTTGGGAAATCCCTGAGGCCGAACTTGTGAATTTTGGTTTTGACAAAGTGCATTTCTTAGGCGCACACTATGTCTGCTTTGCTGCATTTGGCATCTTCCAATAACATGCTCCTTTTGTGTGGGGTATTGAGGCCCCTGGTATTTTGAGAGTATATCTTCACAGTGCTCTACATTCTGGATTTGTGAGTGGTTTGGAAATCCCCACTATGTAGAACACATTAAACAATACGTCAACTGAAAGCATTTTGGACCTTAAGGTAATATTTGTGTTTTCTTACAGTGCACATTACTCTGGATTGAGTGGTGTGGAGGTGTACGCAGAAATCACCACTATGCATAACACGTTAAAGAATACGTTAACTGAAGGCATGCTGGATCTTAGGGCCATATATGTGTTTTCTCACAGTGCACGTTATTCCGGATTCATGAGTGGTGTGGACGGCGACCCCCATGGCCACAGCCACCCCCCCAGGCGGCTACCCGTGGAGGAAAGCTCTGGGAGCGGCCGAGGGTGGAGCACGAATGGAGGTGAGGTCCCCCGGCTTCTGCCTGTCATGAGCTAATATGTCTTGATTCATGGAGAGGTCTCCGCGGGGCAGTACATGAGTTTATGCTGTATGGGCCGATATCAGTCTCCTCTGTCATCTGCAGATTTTGGAGTTATAGCATATTAACAGACATGCTATTGTAACTAAACAATGAACTATGCACAACTTGTTAGCTGTAATAATTTTGTGAGAGGCTAACGGCCACTATTAGCAAGAGTATACTTGCGGCTTAGGTGGGAGCCGCAGTGCGGCTTAGTCCATGAGCTTGTGCTGTGCCGGGAGAAGTGGAGCGGCGTGGGGACGAAGCAGCACTCGAGGGTCACTTGGTTCTCAGGCCCCATTTGTTCAGTAGAGCTATCCCTTCTTCTGGGGTATGGACTGTGAAGTTTTCTCCGCCTTTGGTGATGAGCAATTTCGTGGGGTACCCCCACCATGGTTTGATGCAGAGATTCCGCAGGTCCGTCATGACCATGTTGAATGCTCGCCGTCTGCGCAGTGTCGCTGCTGACAAGTCTGTTATGATGCGCCCGCCAGGGATTGGAGGACCAGCTCCTTGATGTGGAAGTAGTGGGTACAGAGAAGGACATTGCGGGGCGTTGGGTCCGGGAGGTAAGTTGGTTTAGGGACCCTGTGACCCTATCTACCAGCAGCATGTCTGCCGGGATCCCTGGGGCATAGGCGTGCATAAGATTCCTTACATATACTTAGAGGTCACATGGCAGAACGGATTCTGGGACCCCCCAGAGGCGTAAGTTGTTCCTTCGTGCCCTATCCTCAGCATCAGCCATGCGGGTTTTCATTACTTCCAGCCGGTGTTCTAGTGCCTGCACATGGTCGGCCATTACGTTTTGTGCCGTGGTGACCACTTTGCACTCCGTTTCTATGCGTGTCTTTTAAGACTTCGTTTTTTTAAATGGTCTGCTGTGGTTTGCCACATAGCAATCAGTTTTGTGGCCATCGTGTCCATAGCGGTCGCAAAGAGGGCTTTTATGAGGTTTTCAGAGCTTGTGGGGAATGCAGCGCGGCCATGTGGTTGCCGCACTCTTGCGTCACCGCTCCAACTTGAAGGCCTGTCTTTTCGGGCTCAGGTATGGTGGTTGTCTTGTAAAAAAGTTTTGTTTGTCATCTTTGGAGGAGGCTTTGTTTTTGTGCTGAGACATGGTCTGATGAGATGTTAGAGATTTCTGCTGGCTTAATTTTCTATGATTGTGGAGCCCATGTGCCGGAGCAGATTTTTATGCGGCCATCTTGCTCGGCGGTCAGCCACGCCCCCAAGTCTGCAACAATTTTAATGCAGGTGCATGTAGTTTCAGTGCCTGCATGTTGTTGCACATTTGTTTTATCTGCTTTAGGACATATGCCAGAATCACGTGCCCTTCAAGACTAAACTCAAGACAATGACTAATCAAAGTCAATATTAACAACCTGGCACACTACTTGCAAACGAACCCTTCTCCTCCCTTGGTGGAAATTATAATTCACGGATTTTCACAGGGTTTCCACGCCGATATTGTGGCACTCCCCACAGGCACACTAGAATGCCCCAACCTTCTTTCATCTACCAACAACCCTCCCACGGTAGACACCCTCATAGACAAAGAAGTTCACCAAGGTTTCATGCTAGGCCCATTTTCCTTCCCTCCTTTTTAAATGTGGTCCATTGGCATCACAATTAACAAATTCTCTAATAAAAAAACCATAAGATCATAGACTTATCGGCTCCTCATTCATCAACCACCCCAAGTTTAAATTCACTCATTTCGTACTTCCGAATTTTCTCTACATTACGCCACTGTGGACAATGCCATACAGGCAATCTTATAAGCTGGTCGACCCGCATGGTTAAGCAAAACTGATATGAACAACGCTTTTAAGTTGCTACCAATTCATCCCTGTTTATGGCATATTCATGGTATTAAAGGGACACTCCAGGCAGCCAGACCACTTCTGCCCATTGGAGTGGTCTGGGTGCCAACTCCCACTACCCTTAACCCTGCAACTGTAATTATTGCAGTTTTCATAAACTAGATAGCCACTAGAGGGCACTTCCTGGTCCATAGCACAGAAAACCCGTGCTATAGTGTCGCTGGACGTCCTCACGCTGTGTGAGGACATCCAATGTCGCTAAAATCCCCATAGGAAAGCATTGAAATGCATTTTAAATGCTTTCCTATGGAGAGGTCTAATGCGCATGCGCATTAGGTCTCCCCAGCCGGCTGACGTAATGAAGAAGAGGAGCGGAGGAAGCCACCTCTGGTAAGTGACTGAAGGGGTTTTCACCCCTTCAGCAACCGGGGATGGGAGGTGGGAGGGAGATGGGACCTGCAGTGCCAGGAAAACAGATTGTTTTCCTGGCACTGGAGAGTCCCTTTAAGTGGAGATAAAAATATTATATTGCCACTAGGCTCACGTTTGGCGCTAAAAGTAGCCCGAGGATTTTTGACACATTTGCAGAGACTTTATGCTGGCTTCTTCTCAACATAGCCAGGTGCCCGACAGTGATACATTATTTGGACGATTTTCTGTTGGTGGAAGATAGTAACACACCTCTGAGCTTAATAAACACAACAGCACTATTTTCCACACTGGGTGTTCCACTTTCTCCCGATAAGACCATAGGACCCACCACTAGACTTCTTTTAGGGATCATATTAGATTCAAATTTAATGCAGTTTTGTCTTCCCGAGGATAAACTCCATTGCATTCGCAAAGAGTTATACAAGTTCATGAATTTAGGAGTTTGTACGTGCAAGGATTTCCAATCCTTACTGGGATCCTTGAACTTCATGATGCGCACATTCCACCACAGGGAAGATAATTTATAACCAGACTGCTATGCCTCCTATCAGGCCTCTCAGACGACAGTATCATTTGTTTAGACCCACCTGCAAGGGCAGACCTGACGACATGGCAAGATTTCCTCGCACACTGGATTGGAATCTCAATGTTTATTCCCCCAGTGTCCAACCAATCCCCGGTTCTCTGGACTGACGCAGCTGCTAACACTGGGTTCGCTGCAATTTATAACAACTATTGGTTAATGGACAACTGGTCTAAAGAAACAATAGAGGTTCCCTCCTTTCGGGAAACTTCTGCTTTATTAGAAATGTACCCAATAGTGGCTGTAGCCTTTTCATGGGGAAATCTTTGGTCAGGTATGACCGTCAAATGTTATACAGAGAACATGGCAGCTTCCGAAATAATGAATAGGGGTTGGTCGTCATCCCTGACCATTATGAAATTAATTTGCAGGTTGACTTGGTTGGCAGCCACTTACCAATTTTTCCTTGTCTGGGAGCATATCGCAGGTTGCAATGATTCAGCTGCTGACATCTCAAATTTCAGGAATTCTTCCTACTACATCCTACTGCCAACAGATATCGAACCTGCACCTGGAATTCCACAGTTTTATCCTAGATTAAACCGGTTATTGGCCCACAGCAGAACGTTAGCACAAGCGGCCTTATCACCAATACTCAAAAAACCTATAGAAGAGCTATGACCATTTTTAATTGATTCTTAGCAGAGTTTAACCCTCACAATTTTTTTGGTTTAAACCATGGTAGCTTTTGCTGCATTTTGCCACCTTCACCCCTAACTATCACACAATACCATCATACTTTACTTAACAGGTATACAGCACTTCATAATGACCACCATGCCAAATCACATCCCTTTCTTATCCTCGTATCCGATAAACATTCTAAAAAGACATCAATAAAATAGATCATCCAGGGGGGCAGAGCCAAGACCTCGAGCTGAGCAGACACATTCCATGTGAGCTCCCGCTCACCTTGCCAATTTTCATGAGACTCTCCCCCCCCCCTCAAGCAGCACCCCTCACACAACAAAACCACACCACACTGGTTGAGGGTACTGTGCTGATCCCTCAGATCCCTTACTCGAGCACAGAGGCGAGCGGGTATCCGCGGAGGAGCGTTGCAGCCTGCAGGCGACAGCTGGGGGAAGCTCGATTTCCCCGCTCTACAAGTGCTGCGCAGGTCAGCTCCACTCTTACACACTTTCCGTAAATTCCTGCAGCTCTCCCAAGTCCAGGGTATCCTTGGATGCCTCACCATCTCCTATCGCCCCTCCAAATAGCACACTGCTAGGTGGCTCTGGGACAGAGAGCATTCTGGACAAAGTTTAAAGTGGACCACGGTTGATTCGCAATCCAAGCCAGTTCCAGGATGTTTGGGGGTTGCTCCTGGTCAGGCCTGCCATGCCTCTGGAGCCTTCATGCGGGTCTACGATGCTTTGGAAGACCACTATGGAGGGCACTGGAGTGGAGGCACTGCTTGGAGGGGAAAATACTGTGAATATAGTGCCTTCAGGAGTTGGCGAGTCCATCAAAATTCCTTGGTGACCAGGTGGTCTGTCAACATATGTCCTATAGTGCTCTGTACATTTGCATTTTACTCTTGGGTGCCAATATCTCTCTGCAGGTTTATCATTATTAAAAAAAAAAATCTTGCCATTACTGTCCACACTTTGGTGCATATTGTTTTGTCATGCAAAAAAAAAAAACAAAAAAAAACCCAGAAAAGATAATATAGAATTTTATATTGATAGCACTATTAGTTGTCTTTCTATCCCTTTCCTGAGTATTGGATATCGCTCCTGAAGTGGACACTTGCTGCATATCCTATAAGTGGGAATTATACCGCTGTACGCCTATTATGCTAGAGCTGGCTATAGCTCGCATAAATGTGAGTGTACGACCATTATTTCTACTTATAACATATCTAATCACATTTAATGCACTATCCGCTGTCCTCAGTTTCTTGTCTTTTATATATGCATACGGAGCGCTCTGATTAATTGACTCGTCTTTTCAACTGAGGATCTTTCATTTTTCTATCAAGTACTTTATATTGACTCATCTATGACTTGGTCACCGATACAAGAGGATCTCTTACTAGGACTCTCTCTACTATTGATATCTGTATATATATTTCTTTGGCGCAACCTTTCCTTATCTTGTTTTTACATTAGTTTTAAGGGTCTAGAGGGATTTGTTTTTTAGGTTGCTGCCTTCCGTTATTTTGTGTGTTAATTAGTGCTGACTTATCTCTTAGTTTTTGTATTTCATTCTTTTGACTAAGCCATATTTCTAACATGCAGTCAAACATGACACTAACCCTTAGCCTGTTCAGATATTTCAAGTATTACAGCTCAAGCACACCTGGTGCAACTAATGAAGCCCTTAATAAGTTGCATCAGGCGTGCTTGCGACAACACAAGTTTTGCATATGTGTGCTGTTGTGATGGATTCTAATTATGGGGTTGAATAATTTTGAGACTGGTTAAGTCATTACAAGTTTGCATGTTCAGTTGAAACTCAAAGCATTTGTTGTGTTTAGCTATTTCAATTGCTTTTGTTTGGTTTGTTTATTGCAAACACCTGAAAGTCCATAAATGTTGACAATAAACGGATTTTCAATTAGGGTTGAATAATTTTAATTACAACTGTATTCCAGTGCAGCACGTCAATCCTGCAGACACAAGCTCACTTTGTAGGGATCATAATTAGAGAATAGAAATTAAAACAAGTGAGGCTGGTTCGCAAAATAATTAAAGGAAACCATTCATAGAAATATAGTTGATATTTTATTTACAGATTAATTCCTGACATTTTCTTTTGCCAAAAAAGAATAAATCATTTAACGTTAAGTTTTTTTTTTCTCTTTCTATTCTTTACAGCAAATCATCAGACAATATAATGAACAAAATATCAGTGGCACAGCTTCTTTGGAAAGAGAATTAGCATAGACTTATTTCTTTCTTTAAATAAAAGAAAATATAATAAAACAAAAATCACAGATCTGTTTAGTCTTTATGTCCTAACGAACTGTACAAGGCAGCTGAAGTATATTCACAAAAGCCCCAGAATGCAAAGGTTTTGCAGAAAGTAGTTTAAAATACACCAATTACCTCCATTAAAGGTATTACTTGCACATTTTCCCATTGCACATATTACAATCATTACAATATGAATTACGGAGTGAGTCACATTGCATTTTAAGAGGAGGAAAATTAATTAAGAAATTGCCATCAATACAGTTTAGTGATAATGGAAAATATTGAAAATGTAACATTTAAAGTAATCTCAAGCTCAATCCTATTTTAACCCTGGGAACGTTGTTGATGGGTTTAGTTTTTTGGGGGGTGTTGATGAAAAAGGACAACTTTAAGAATAATTACCATGAAAAAAAATGGGATGAAACAAACAAACAAAAAAATTTAAAGGGCCCTACAAAACAAAATCATCGATTACTTTGTGTGAAACAAAAACAAATGAAATACATAGTATTCCATTTAATTATTGACCCTGAAAGTATACAATAAGGCACTGCAAACTTTGGGTTGTAATCAAAGATTAAAGCAGATCTCTCCAATCTCCCACCCTCACCCAGATCACAAATTCTGTCAATATGTATTTTTTCCGATATGGGTACAATATATAGGTAATAGTGTAAATACCAAAAGGTTGAGACTACATTTTTACTTGTGGGGTTCTGTGCCTGATGACAATTTGATGAAGAAACAGCAGTTGGCTTAACCTATTCTTTAGTGCTCACTAAATGAAACTTCTTCTGCTTCTGTCAAATAACTTTACATAACAGGATAGGCTCGAGTGATAATATTCTTATAGGATATCCATTTGCGCATTGTCACTAGGAAAGGGGTATCAAGCTATTTAATTCCCATTGCCCTTGAGAGAAAATACTGGGTAATGTCACTTACCTGAACCCAGCGCCGATGTTCCTCGGTGCAGGGTCAGACTCTGCCTTAGCTCCTCCTCCCCAGAGGTCAGGGACCTAATGAACATGCGCGGCAATCGCATTTGGACAACCCCAGAGGAAAGTATTAAATCAATGCTTTCCTATGGGGTTTTAGCGGACACTGGATGTCCTCATGCAGAGTGTGAGGACGTCCACTGTCAGTTTGGTGAGACCCAGAAGCCACTAGAGGTGGAGTTAACCCTGCAAGCTAGTTATTGCAGTTTTTCAATAACTGCAATAATTACCATTGCACGGTTAAACTGACAGGGACAGTGAACCCAGACAACTTTAATAAACAGAGTGGTCTGGGTGACTATATAGTGTCCCTTTAACTTTACCCATAACCCATTATAGAGAGAGTGCGTAATGCCTTTGTTACTTCTCTCTACCCCTTATAATGGATGGACAAGCTATATGAACGGGCAACAACGCCTCCTGGCCATACTTTTTTTTTGTCAAATGATGACAGGAAGAGTCTAAACTCCCCTTGCCCAATTACCCAGTTAGGTCAGGGCCAGGGGGTAGCACAGTCCATTAAACTGAGAAGCAATTCTCTTTTTCCACAATTAATAAAGGAGTCAAAAGTATATGTGCTGTGGACTGGGAGCGACCTGAACTTTTCCATTTCTTCATAAGAACCACTCCCCCTACATTCTAGGTTAGGCCTCCTGAAAAGTGGTGTGCATTCTAAGGACATATTCACTGCATGCACACATGGAGATGGTAAAGGGAATGACGTGGCGCAGTTTTTCAATCCCCATCTGCTCTCTAGTAGGCTGGGGCAGATTGAACATAATTTTATCTGTTCTATTCATACCAAACTCTACTTGCAATACCACCTGGGGTACAAGAAGATGCAGCTTCTCTTACCACTATGACATTTGTGACACATGAGGGGCTGCATAAAAGTAAACATTTGCCAAAAAATGATCCAACACTTGTACTGTAAAGTAAACTCAATTGCAACAAGGTAGAGAACCCCACAGAGAAAAGCAACCATAAATGGAAACGTTGTCATAGGGATGGGAAAAAATATATTTGCAAAAACACCAATTAGACAGAATTAAGAAGAAAAACAAAAAAAATGCTGTAAGTGCATATAAATCTGAAAGTATGAAAAGGGAAGGGCAACTTCAATATTTTAAGCACCTGCATTTGCATTCCACCATTATTAAAGGTCGTTGTGTTCATCCACATGCCCTGTAATATTCTATCTTAATAACAAAGCAGGTTCTTAAATCTCTATATGGACTTTCAAAAGGCATAAATTATAATCATGGATTGTAGAATTAGAAACTGGTAAACCCATTCAGTACTGGTGATGCTGATTTTCATTTATATGTGTAAGTAAGGTTTATAAAAATAAATCTTTATCTACACAACGGCAAGGCTACTTATTCGTTACAACACTATAATATTAACCACAATGGTTACTAAAAATCCTTTACATTAAGGCACATTATCTCTCGGGTATTAACACAGATGTTAAGAGTACAAAGAAACTTGGCACCTAGAACATTATCCAATGTGTAAAGATACATGTAAAGACATTTATGACACTTGTTTTAAAACAGTAATGAATGATCAGGCTCCAAACTTTTTCCAGTGGTGTCATTAAATAGAGGTGTGATGTTTGGAATGTCCTAAGAACAGGGCACTCTGGTAATAAATGAGAAAAGGTCTGAACAAACTATTAACTTTCTTGAATAGAAACACAAGTTCAAAAAACATTAACAGAGCCTTAACTCCATGTGTTTGTTAAAGGACCACTCTAGGCACCCAGACCACTTCAGCTTAATGAAGTGGTCTGGGTGCCAGGTCCCTCTAGGATTAACCCCTTTTTTTTTTTTTTATATATATAAACATAGCAGTTTCAGAGAAACTGCTATGTTTATAATAGGGTTAATCCAGCCTCCAAATCCTCTAGTGGCTGTCTCATTGACAGCCGCTAGAGGCACTTGCGTGATTCTCACTGTGTAAATGCTTTCCTATGAGACCGGCTGAATGCGCGCGCAGCTCTTGCCGCACGTGCGCATTCAGCCAAAAGGGAGGAGAGGAAGAGGATCGGAGGCGGAGAGCTCCCCGCCCAGCGCTGGAAAAGAGGTAAGTTTTACCCCCTTTCCTCTCCCCAGAGCCGGGCGGGAGTGGGACCCTGAGGGTGGGGGCACCCTCAGGGCACTATAGTGGTCCTTTAAGGTAATGACACTATACCAGTCATATCAGAAGCACATAATGTTAAATAGTTGTATGTTCACTGGATTAAACTCACAAGAACAGGTTGTTCTTGTACATTAGTCTAAAAGATACATTCTCAAACTACAGGCTATCACATCACAAAGAGTTTTGAAATTATGTTTACAACCAACACCGGAATTACATTGTGGGCCATTTGAACATTAATACTGTAAATAGCTCTAAATGCTAGAGAAAGCATGTCATAAAACAGTCCTGATAAGTGATGTCAATACAACAATGGTTTCATTA